CAGGCTGGGTGGGCATCTGCAGGGCAAGTCCAGTTCGGGTTTGGTACCAGCCATGCCCACCATGATGTTCAACTTCCCTGTTGTCCCGTAGAATGTTCTACAGAGTGATGCTTTCTTAAAGGGGGAATTCTACGAGTTTCAAAGTTCTTTTTTTTCTTCTTTCTTGTACTGCTGCCTACACTCATTACGTGTCTCAAAAAAGCCACCTCCGTGACTCGCAAGAAGGAATTATCTGAAATATAAATGTACCCAAATTCTACCAAACAGAGATGTTAGTTTTGCTGTCTTGACCTCAGAGAAAAGTTATGGTTCTCTGGGAACTGCCATTGCCATGCCTTTTTGTATATTTAAAAATACAGATCTATGAACTATGAAAACATTACGTAAGACTATTTCTGTAATTCATATATAATAAGCCAGGCATAAAATTATTCTGATCCTTTGGGACATAAACCACTTCAATTTTCTCAGTAGTCAAAGGGTCGTGTTTTGCCTCTTTCTTTGGCTGGGATTTGAAGCCCACCAAATACATTTATTTTTTTTCATTCTTCGTCAGATTATTTTTCATGTTTTCTGTGAAGCACATGAATCCATGTCTCATCATAATATTTTCCTAGTAAATACGGTTCACAGATAAAATTATGGGCCTGCTGAGGTCTGTGAGAATTTTCTGTTTATTTCAACAGGACCAGGATTCCATCCAGTTCTTTTAAACAAGTTGCTTTGTGCTATTAAATTTCAGTAATATCTTTCTGACTCCGCCTGGGAACTCATAGGGAAGTGCTGTTTATGAACTGACATGTGGCGATCCTTAATTTATAGCAGAAAATGTATAAACGAAAAAATTACAGCTTAATTGTATGAAACAATAAACCTGAAAGCGTTTACAGTTCTTTATGAACGGTTGCGAGCATTAATCCACAAAATTCCTAATCTGTTTTAGATGATGAGTCTGACTCCGCCTGGGAACTCATAGGGAAGTGCTGTTTATGAACTGACATGTGGCGATCCTTAATTTATAGCAGAAAATGTATAAACGAAAAAATTACAGCTTAATTGTATGAAACAATAAACCTGAAAGCGTTTACAGTTCTTTATGAACGGTTGCGAGCATTAATCCACAAAATTCCTAATCTGTTTTAGATGATGAGATCCCAGGCTCTAGATAAACCACATATGAGGTGGTATGAATGTTAGGGCCCAATTCTGCTCCTGTTTGAAGTGAGCAATAAAACTTCTCTTGGCTTTAGGACTAAGAGTTTACAGATGATGAAAAGTAGAACTCAGCTGAGCAGGGAAATATGGAAAGAATAGATTTTTGAAGTATTTTGTTACTTTTAAAAAAGAAATATTAATTACATCAGATCTCTCTGGATCTGAACAAAATAAGTGGGAATTGACCTAGGCATTTTGGTTGTAGTCATCTGTTTGTTCAAAGGATTCTCAAATGGATTCTCAAAAGGGTTTCTGGTTATGCCAATGCTTCTGTAACAGCCAGTATCAAGTACTGGAAAATTTTGCAGAAATTTGGAATATAAGATTTTACAGCCTGATTCCTCACAGGTCCTGCCCAAGCTCCAGAGTTACTACTTGTGCAGACTTATGGCTGTGATGAGGAAAAAAACATTTACTTCAGGAGAGATTTCTTTTTGGTAAAACTTTGGGTATGGTAGCCGTGATTTAGCTACTCATACTCTTCCATGTTCTATTTTTTTGCAGTAATAAAAACCCCAAAACTGTTAAGGAAACATTCACAAACACTAATTCATAAATGGATGAACCACTCTAGTTCCTAATGTAAGCAAACAGAGGTGTCGTCTTCTCTCATAAGCAAATGCCTTGCCTTGGGACCAGAGGTGGTGCAGAATGCCTGTACTGCATTGTGGCTGCTTTCCTTACTGAGGCATGCCACTTCATTTGCCTTTGTATTTTGCATTTTTTAAAAATAATCTTAATTTGTTTAATAAGTGTTTAATTAGTTACTATTAAAAGAAGGTCCTGCTTGAGCTGCTATGGGGGGTCATGAAGTTCACACAGCCTCTTCTGTGGGTCTATGTATTTAAACAGTGTATTTAGCCTGACTGGATTACTTTTACTTTTAGATGTGTGTTTTGGAAGTGAACATAACAAATGTTTTTGCCGAGTTGCTAATTTTCATTTGAATCACAATTTCTTTTATGAGCATGTAATACAGCTTCTGCCTTTAAGGTTGGAAACGAACTCAGTGAAAAATTACCTTTCCTCCCCCAGTTTAGGATTATATTGAAACACATGCTTGCATTTCCTTAGGGTTAGGCACATGCTTAATGAAGATGCATGAATCTGGGATACGGTTCTTACAATAGTAAACATTACCATCAAATTTCCCCCAAATTCCCATCCCAAAGTACACCTCATTCTCACATGACTAGACCTTACTGTGTCATCAACTGCACATTTATAAAAAAAGAAAAGAAAGAGGTGAAGCAAAGTGGAGGTCATCAGTTTTAGAAATAAAAGTAGTCCAGGAATATGCATGTTGGTGGAACTTCAACTCAGTTATGGGTCAACTCAGTAAAAACACCTGAAGTTTCCTGGCACTGCTTATAAACTAGCAATTTATTTTCAATTGCATGCAATGACTTTTTTTTTTTTGTTCCTCTTTTAAGGCTCTGGCACCATGTTGAGTAAATAAAGTGCATATTAAAATACCGTCTAAATACAGCATGAGTATACAGTCACTGCAGAAATAGGAATAGTTTTGGAAGGAGTCATTCTGGTCTCTTGAGGAAATAAGCAGTGCTTTAAAACTCTTATTAAAAATTATTTTAAAGACAAAATTAAATTTAAAAAGAAACATGTTTAAATAACATTCAGATTGTAATAGAAATGGGGAGAAACCAGCAAATGTGAAGTCCAAGCTGACACTTGAAATTATGCTGCATTAGTCTTCAATTAGAATTCCCAACTTTTTTTTTTTTGTTCTATGTCAGAGCCTCAAGGTTATTAAAATTGCACGTTCTGTACCATATTTTGTTTAGACATTAAAAGCAGCCCTTCCAAGTTGTCTGCTGGAGTCAGCAATAGTGTCATTCTTACATCCCTCGCTTGAAGCCTGAAGCTTCTGCCAAACATAGGACACGCTGGTGCATAAAAATAAATGAATAAAACAAATGCATGTATTTATCATATGTATTATAAACTCTAGGTGCTCTAACAATCGGTAGACAAACAAAATATTAGATCCACAAGCAAATCCCTGAATGCAATGGAACTGCCCTATGATACTTTTCCACTCCAGTAATTCCTTTCCTAGTCCATTCCGTGTGAAACGCTTTTTGAACAGCATAATATAACATTTATTTTCTCTGTGTGACTGGAAAGACCTGGTAACTGAGAAATTAACAGTTATCTTTTATAGCAAATGGCACTTACCCTGAGCCTCTACTGAGTCTCTAGGTGGCCCTTACAGCGTTGGCATTTGGCTGCTTTTCTGCCTAGTTGTGTGGTCTCAGGCAGAGCGGATAAAGCCGTCCCGGACAGTGCCCTTGGTTGCACATATGTTTCTTGGGTAGTAACACAAGCAGGTCTCTCAAACACTAATTTGTCCCTTACTGATAAAATGAGTCAAGTAAGGGATACAACCGCAGCACTCCAAGCAGGTAGAAGACACCAGCGTCCTCAGGTTTTTTTTCACAGTTCTTCCCCTTTTTAATGCATGTGCCTCTTCGCAGTTCTGCTGTTTTATGGGGTTTTTGCAAGCAGTCGCTCATTTCTGGTGGTTTCTTCCAGGCTTCCCATGGGGAGGGTCCCCTGACAGCCTCATTCCCTGATCTGTCTCTCTTGCTGCCACATCCCTTGCTTTCCAGAACAACACGGAGATCATGGTACTTCTGGAAGTGGGGAAAGTGTGACAGCTGATGAGTTTCTTCCTGGCTGGTTGGTGTCTTGAGCTGACTGAGCAGCCAAAGGAGCTCAGAGCTTTGGGAAGCAGCAGAAATGGTGGAATAAGGGAATCAAGAAAGGCTGTTCCTATGCTAGTAATTAGGTTTGGAGCAGGGGTACTGTTTTGAAGAAACCAATAGTCTCCACTTACTGCACTTCTTGAAGTGTTTTTTTGTGTGTGTGCACAAACTACATTCTTTTCTGATACTGATACCTCATGATACTTAATGTCATATATGAAACTGCTGTCCTCATATGTCCTTTCAATATGCTCTATATAACGACTAAAATTTAGAGATCTGAAAAACTCTCAACACTGTGACTGCATCTGTGTAACTTCTGTCAAGGATTCAGAGTAATGCGTGAGAAAGTGTACTTTGAAATTACAGATGCATCTCTTTTAACCTCTACCTAAATATTCTTTTATGTTAGTTGCCTATCTTGTTGCACATCTCTTACCTTAAGCTTCATTACACTCAGATGCATTGGACCAATTCAGAGGGGCAATGTGACAGAGCTTGGGATGCTGTAATTCAGACAACAGGTGGATGTAGCATGCGCATTATATTCTGGATGTATGTTATGCAAGAAGCTGTACAAAGCTGCTGAGTCTAAGGAACACATAGCTACACTGGATATCCTGAGTCAAAAAGAGTTTAGTCCTCTGGCATTGCAGATAGCTATGTCATATAAATCCTTGTGTAGCATGAAATCTATTCTTCCACCAGTGTAAGTCAGGAGCAACATTCCTAATGTCAGTGAGCTATAGGAAGGGAATGAGAACTCTTAACTAGGGTAATGTACATGGAGAAAAGAGCTGGAAAAAAGATGCGTGCTACACAAAATGAAATTCTGTTTGGACTTACTGACTTTCAATCACCGTACATTAAAGCTTTTATCACTTGGTAATCTGGAAACAGCTTTCCAGCTGCTAAAGGCTAAATGCTTATCTTTTATAAGTGCGCGCGCACGCACACACATGTATCTTTTATGGAACTGAAAATTTACTGCATACCTGACTTCTGTTGATATATGAAATCCACAACTATGCTTTATTCCCTCAACTTCCTCCATATAGGATGGTCCGCACGCTGTATGCCATCGGTGCTGTGTTTCTTCTGATGGGATTTCTGCTACCAGCAGCAGAAGGGAGAAAGAGGAATCGTGGATCTCAAGGTGCTATCCCTCCTCCTGACAAAGATCAGCCCAATGATTCAGAGCAAATGCAGACACAGCAGCAGTCGGGCTCTAGGCATCGAGAACGAGGAAAAGGTACCTCAATGCCTGCGGAAGAGGTGCTGGAGTCTAGTCAGGAGGCATTGCACATCACTGAGCGCAAATACCTAAAGCGGGATTGGTGTAAAACTCAACCCCTCAAACAGACTATCCATGAAGAAGGCTGCAACAGCCGTACCATTATCAACAGGTTCTGCTACGGCCAGTGCAATTCCTTCTACATCCCCAGGCATGTCCGTAAAGAGGAAGGCTCCTTCCAATCTTGTTCCTTCTGCAAGCCTAAGAAATTCACCACCATGACTGTTACACTCAATTGCCCTGAGCTTCAGCCCCCGAGAAAGAAGAAAAGAATCACCCGAGTTAAGGAATGCCGGTGTATATCTATTGACTTGGACTAAACTGAGAAAAATATGGTACCGATTGCACTCTGACTGTACGCAATCATTGCCAGCATGAGAGCGAGTGGCATGAACTAGCATACCTTCGGGGCTGGACAAAATTGTGAATTACCTAAAACAAGAAAAAAAACAAAAAAACAAAGGAAAAAATTGATGTAAGGGAAGGACACACATGTGTATGTTTGTTTGTAAGGAGAAAATGGATGTGTACAAGCAAATATATGAATGTTCACTGCAACAAAAAAAATTAACAGGGGTATGAAATATTAAAAAAATCTATTTACCCGCAGTCATGAATTAGGTTTCCTAGTGTATATTCACATTTTTGCCACTTGCTGGGAAAGTGGAGCTGTGGCTTTTGCTAATGTTCACCTGCCGTGCTATTTGCTTTTACTGCATTAAGAGAAACATCGAAGTGAGAGGACAATATATTTGAAAGCGTGAATCTATTCTTAAATACGAAGTAGGCAAAAAGCAGTTTAAAGCATAGCAAAACCATCACTGCAAATAGCAGCTGTATCAAGAGTTTGTAACGTGCTTCTTCAAAAAAATAACTGTAATCCAAAAGCCATGTCTGGAGAACAATGGGGGGACATGGGAGTGTTGAAAAGTCAGTATAGGTGGATGGAAAACAGAGCTACAGCAAGTTAGAAAGCAAAAGACCAAAGTAAGTAGACGGGGAGAGTACAAAAGGGAGTAGAAAAAGGACAGATACATAAATAGGAAGACACAGAGGAAGATATATTGTCTTCTGTTTACGTTTTGCTTTAATTTATATACCTAGTCTTATATTACATAAATTAAAGAGAAACTATATACAAGGCTATAAATATACTTCTGAATTCTAAAGGCTCTCTAAATCAATCAAAACCCATTCTTGTGCCACTAGATCCATTTGATGTCTTGTATTTCTGATATCAGTTACTCTTCATATCTACATATATATGTATATGCAGTATCTTTTAGTCATTGGTATCTATATGTACATGCAATGAGTAGGCATACTCCATTGTGTGTATCCGAACTCTCTCCTTCTCTTTCTCACACACATACATAAAAACCATACATAACCACAGCACAAAAATCTTGCTAACCAAAATCAAGTACAGAATGGCAGTAATTTAGTACATAAAGAGCAAAGCAAAAATTAAAACAAGCATCATGTGACGGCAAATGCAATAACCACACAAGAGACAAAAGACACGACATTCATGACTAGTAAACACTGCATTGTTGTTGTTATTTTAGCTTTGCCACAGGCATGCAGTTTGTTGAAAAAGAGATGCAGAACTTTGCCAGCAATAATCCTCTTTTTATATCTTTTACCACAGACTTGCATTTAAACGGGATTTGGACTAAGTAAAGAGAATTTCCTGAAAATTAAGGGCTAACTGCCCCTCTCATTTGGGGGAAAAAAACCCATAAAAGGGGACACACTACTTCCAACAGCTCGATGAATCTCACCTGTGAGGTTATCCTGCCTCTTCTTTCCTTCAGGATTAGAAGCTTCAACTTGATCAGGGCTGTGGGTTTTGACAAGAGCGCAGAAGGTCCTGCAAAAGCAGTTGGTTTAGCTAGGTGGACCCTGGGCCATTGGACCTGAGGGGCAGCCCTTCCATGCACGTTGCCCTTGCTTTCCTGGGGGTCCGATGGGAAGCCTGGGGGTTGTCTTGCTGGCTGCATCTCATACCCCATGCTGTGCAAATGGCTCATGCTGTCCTGGGTGCTGGCTTTGCAAGTGTGCTTTCCAACTGGGTGGTGAAGAGATGACAGGGTGCTGCACACCTTCCTGCCTGTGCCTGTGCCTTGTGCCTGCAGGGCCCCGACAGCTGGTCCTGTCCGGTGGGGTACCGAAGGAAAGACGTGTTTGTACACTAGAGTCAGTACCGGTCCTGAAAGCAACCTGGACATCACTGATGTGAGTGAAATGGGAGTTAAGTCCACGTTAATTGTATGATGGGGCTTGGATAGTCCAGGACTCAGTTTCCCCATTCAGCAGCAATACTCTCTAGTATCCCCTGTCAGTGTAACTGCTCTTTCTCACACCAGATGCCTCTCTCAGCTGCAAGGTGATTATCTTGATAGCATTTCTGTCCACTGAACACTGAGGAAGACAATTCGGCTCTTACTGATGTGTCCAAAGGGAAAAATATACAGTGGCATGTCACAGATGCATCCAGTGTGCAGTCATTATATCAGATGCCCCAGCTGTTACACAGTGCATCATGCAGTTATTGGCGATATCCTGCATCTCTGCAATTAATATATTTTTACTGTAAAATCCACTGCTGTGAGGTCTGCATTTGTAAGATTAAGAGATTGCAACTCATTGATTGATATTATTAAAATGCATTTTGTCTGGTGTACTCTCACTCAGCAGGTTTGACACATTTCTTCATGGATTTTAAAATCCAATTTTAAAATCTGGAATTACAGGAGGTAGATTTCCACTGTGTGGAATGTGAATAGTTAAACAGAAAGATATGGCTATTTAATGTTATTATTAATACAAATCCTCTTTCACTGATAATAGGCAGGGGTTGTTTTCCTTTAAATTACTTTTTTGAGTTGGTTTGCAGGGGAAAGGGCCAATCTCAGTCGTTGCTGAAAGTTTTGTACTAGCTAGGACTTCTGTTCAAGAAATGAGCACACCTTAAGAATGAATTTTTTTCTTCATGTGAAGTTGACAGCAAAACTCCCATTGTCTTTTACAGTGACTGCTGTGTCCCTAAACCCTTAGCCATTAAGCAAAGCTTCAGACATTACTGACTCCTTTATTTAAGATTAGGCTAATATTCTGAAGGAAAATTGATAAAAGTTTTACAAATCTTTATGTCCAAAACAGCCTGTACATAGACCATGACTGAACTCCCCTTGAGGCAGATTCCCCCCCCAAAAATGTAAATTTTATACAAAGAACTTTTATGAATTGCTAGTTATTGCCTGAGAGTAAGAAAGTTCTGCTAACTTACAATTATACGAGATATTTAATATCAACCACAATATGTATTTAAATGTCTGCTTTATTCTAAAAACAATGGACTATATAACCTAAGGCTGCAGTATTTTCATGCTCGGTCTCACAAAGCAAAACTTGGTTTAAAATGAAGTTTTAATTATTTTGTAACTGAATAGAATTGGAGTTTTTTCTTCCCAGCATTTTGTACGTCATTTTAACTACTAGTAACAAATAAATAAAATATCTTCTCCAGCCCATGTCTATTGTTTTTGTTTTTTGTTTGTTTCTTCCTTAAGTTTCCAGCTCTTTCTGGATCTGTTGTACTTTGACTTCTGTGGTTTCTTCTAGTTATAAAAGGGCTTACATTATGACAATGAGACACAGAGACAAGCAATGGCACCATCATTCAACACAGCTACTTCAATAAGGTTTTAAAATGAGATCTGTCACTTCCCCCTCACCCTTCCACAATTTATAGAAGGAAAATCTCAATCTTTACTCGCACTTTTCCCCTTGTAAACCATATAGTGACAGTTCAAAATATAAATCAGCCTTGAATTGTTGTAAAGTTAAAGCTGGAGTTGGCATGCCTGCCTTACACCTTATCTCAGTTTTACATCTAGCTAGCAGTTTACTGCCAGTTTCAGAAAAAAAGAGTAAGGAGCACCTTTACAATACAGCACATTACAAGCTGTAAATAGGGACAGGGGAGATGAAAGGTAATTATAAAAGAGAACAGGAAGATCTGTCATTTCCTTTTACCTTCTCTGTCCCTGCTGGCAGCACTTGGGCAAGGCCAGTTTTGAGGAAGGACTGCAACCACAGAGAACAGGTTTCCTCAAACCTTCCACCCTGCCGGTGGGAGATGGGCAGTAGCGGTATAAATTTTACCTTCCCAACCTGCCACCCTGTCAGATGTGTGAGGGACTCGGTCAGTCATTGCAGACCCCCGTGCAATCCTGCTGTCTGCAGTAGTGGTGGCATTGTCTGCCCTTGTGGAGAAAAGCAGCTCTGACTGGGATCACCATCTCACTGAACCGGACTGAGAACGGTCTCTGATTTCACATAAGCCTCTGAGCAGTAATATAGGCCTATTTCAGATGTACACCTTTTAGTTCAAAGGACTGACAATGACATAGTCAGATATACAATCTTAGGAGTGAACAACGTGTAGTGTTTTCCTGGAGCGCACACAGATAACCAGAGAAAAGGGTCAGATGTCCCATTATCCAGCTCTGAAAAGCTGGGTGCTGGTAAGATCCGGTGTGGTTTTCCTTCATGCAAAGCCCTTGTGAAATAGTGGAGCTGAGCACTCCAGTAGTACTGGTTGTCTGGGGTTTTTAAAGGCTTTTTGGTTTAGTCTTCCTTCTTTTCTAGCTTTTTTTTTGTGCTTCTAAAACTTACTGAAAGCCTGATAACATTAAAATAACTATTTCTAACAGGCAACTGACTTTTTCTGGTGTGAGATACAGGCACAGTTGGACAGAATAAGTTTCCTTTAAAAGATGTGCATATATATCTTTATTTGAATATTTAAAACAGAGAGAAAAACCTCCTGGACTTACCTTTCTAGTACTCTGTAGTACCATGGTCTTACTATTTATATGCTGACAAGCTCAGACATTCATTATAATTTACGTTTGGCCTACATACCAGCTTTGAATTGAAGATACGTCCACTGTGAAGTCCCGTGTGCTTTATAGATAGTTACACTGATCAAAAGAAGATAACAGAGAGAGAATTCACACACCCTAATCAGCTTTCAGGGTCACAGATAGAAATAATAATATATATATATTATTATATTAGATAATTATATAAAAATATTATAATAATTTTTTCTCTCTCTCTCTCCAGTGAGGTAGGCTAGCTTTCTGCTTGGGATTTCTGTGTGTGCTCTGTCATCCATGTGCTGCACAGTTGATTCGCACACACATTATAGGACTGAGGCATCAAGACCATGTCAGATTTGCTGAGCATGTGCAAGACATCTGAGCAACACATGCGCACAGTAGGTATGGTGCGTCCTGGATGGGTCAGTGGAACAGACAGCATCGTGGCTCCGCTCCAGCTGCCTGTCAGCAACGTTGCCTGGCTGGGAAGAGGGACATTGCATTTGCAAAAATGACGCAGTAATTTAACCTTGTAATTTACCTTCTCCTGAGTGAAAAAAAAGGAGCACTGGAGAACTGTACCCTCGGGGACTGGTGTTTCTTTGTGCTGTCCAGTGCACAGAGTTGTTAGTTCCAAAAGGTTTCCTAAAGGAGAAGCACCAAGTCACTGGTAGAAGACTGAGATGAGAATGCTGGTTTGCTTAACCCAGTGTTCCCCTTACACCCTCTTCCTTTGCTTTTTAAAAAAACATACATCTTATTCCCTCCGAATAACTCAAACCTGCCTTAGAAACCACTTCATTAATTACTGAAATACAGCAGTCAATATCGGCAGAAGAATGTCCAAAATTTTTTCTGAGTCATTCTGCTTACCTGGACGGTTGTACTAACCAAAGACTTCTGAAGGGGAGAGCTGCATCATTTAAAATTTAAGGGAGTGGAAAAAAAAATGTATATTTGGATTTAGTCAAAACAATGGAGATATCACTTCTAGATATTTTTAATAACCATCAGATCTTGGCCTTAAGGTATCAAAAAGATTAACCGTAATAAGATTCAGATACCTTGCTTTATTATTTTTTTTTTTAATCAGCTGAGACTGAAACTAGAAATACACAGGAATGCACAGGTATCATAACGAGTCCCAGTAGTGCAGATTTTTGATGCTACCTTGTAATGCAGCTTCATAAAAACATCTGAAGCCTGTCTGCACTGCCTGCCTGGGAATGTAGCTGATGACTTTAAGGTGCCCTTTGACAATGTGTGGCTTCTGGCTGCCTGAATTCCTCCCCTAGCTTTTATGGGGCGGGGCGGGGGGGAGGAGTACAGAAATTTTAACTGTCACTTGCTCCCTTTCCTATTATTTTCTAAAAATAGTGAAAATAAAATTCATAATCTACCTCTTTTAAATGATCAAGGAGCAAGATATGAGGATCAAATTATATACTGACATAAAAGAAGAATGTTTGGGATCGCATGAAAAAAAATAAACTTTTAAGTTGTGATAGGCAATAACTCCTCCTTGCTGTGATACAGATGTAAGTCACATAGCTTGGGGATGAATCAAATGGAGAAGTTACACTGACTCCCAATAAAACTTCTGCAAATAGGGGAGGAGGAAATTTTAACTGTCACTTGCTCCCTTTCCTATTATTTTCTAAAAATAGTGAAAATAAAATTCATAATCTACCTCTTTTAAATGATCAAGGAGCAAGATATGAGGATCAAATTATATACTGACATAAAAGAAGAATGTTTGGGATCGCATGAAAAAAAATAAACTTTTAAGTTGTGATAGGCAATAACTCCTCCTTGCTGTGATACAGATGTAAGTCACATAGCTTGGGGATGAATCAAATGGAGAAGTTACACTGACTCCCAATAAAACTTCTGCAAATAAAGAAATCGCTATGTTTGAATTTCGTTTTTAAAGAATGCCTTATGGAAACAGCCATATTCCAATTCATATTACAAGAGATCAAAAGAACAAAGGTTAAAATAATATCTCCATCTCTCTCTACAATAATTGAGAGCTATATCTTATCCTTCTGTTTAGTAATATCAATATGGATTCCAGCAAGAAAGCAATTGGAAAGAATTAATGTGTCAGTTACAGCTCATCGGGGACACCAACACTAAAATTCATTAATCATAATTTTATAGTAATTGCATGGCATCACTACAGAGCACTGTTAAGTTTGTTTGATTTATTTAATGATGAATTTGAAGACCTTAATATTGTTTTTCCTTTAAGTTAAACTTTAGTGAATTTCTATGTTTTGCTGAATTTCTATGTTTTGTAATTAGTTTGTTGAGGTATAAAGGCACAGGTTTTTTTATATTTAAGAAAAGAGACATATTCTCAATCTTAGCTTTGTATTAGTGTTTTCTTCTATTCAGAGAATTAAAAAATTTTGCTATATAGATATAACATACATGTATTTTTCTCTCTAAACAAAGGTATCAAAAGCCTAGAAATGCATTAGATACATTTAAAAGTCTGAAAAATGTACATTTGATAAGTTTGTACATAAAAGTATGGGCCAGTGTGCCAAGCTTCTTAACAACATACTTTATGAGTGATTAGTATAGAATAAAGTCAACAATGGCAATAATTACAACAGTAGGCATGAAGAATTTATTTTTCAAGGAGGGGGACAGGGTTGTGTGTACTCAGTAAAGTTTATTTCTAGGCAATTACACCTAATGGCAAAGACGAAGGCTAGCTGAACCTCTCTCCTTAGGATCTGAAGGGCCTTGAACGTTCCTTGGGAAACATATGTTCACAAGGAACATATATTTCCATTTTTGTTGTTAGTTTGTTTCAACTCCAAATGAATGAAGAGGCTAGATTTTGGGTGTTGTTATATTTAGCAAATAAAAAGGAGAAAGAAAACTATGTGTACAATGGAAAGAACTTACTGAATGGATCTAAATCCTATGGTAGGTAATTTGATCTAATTTTTGCAGAAAGGCAAATGCCAGATGTTTGCTCCACTTTGATCTTAATAACACTTTAGGCTGCAGACAATAAGATTGGTTTAAAATTTATTGTCTCTTTGATTTCTCCATTCTAATGCTTTTTAAATTCTTTACACAAGACAGATCTATATATAGGCAACTGGGGTGGCATCAGAAGCGTTGTATACTTAAGACATTCTTGAAAACCTCAGTGTGGAACAGTGTTTGCTGTTTTATGCATCAAAACAAAGCCAGATTTTATATGAGCAACATTCAATTTTCTTTTTATTATAATGTCTCTTTTTATTTTGCATATGAAGTTCTGACTGTCGCATCTGTGGCACAGCTCCTTATATGCTTTTATCTTTCAGTAACCTTATTAAAAGTCAAGACAATATATTAAATCAACATTAAGCAGCAGGAGTTGAAAGAAAAGTTAATCCATTCCCTTGCATTGGGAGTGTAATCTATGTAGATCTTTAATTTCACTGTTAAGTTGCTTTTAGGATTCTTTTTGTACAGAATATGCTTTAAAAGGAGAGCTGCCACTGAATGGACACCAGTGAAAGCCTCTGAGAAACCATAACATCCAAGAGGCATCCGACTTGCCTTCCGTTTGGAGCTTCACATTCAAGGAGGCCTTTGCTCTGTGAATGTGAGTTGAACTCAGC